TATATATTGTGTGTGTGTGTGTGTGTGTGTGTGTGTGCGTGTGTGTGTGTAACATATTTTTATATTTATATATATATATATAGGTATAGGTATGTTATCACCACACACAGGTACACACCTGCTTTCGTGGGAGGCAGGATTTTCATTCGCAGAATCATAGTTGTTTGCGCTTACAACAATGGGTTCTGTATTGTCATCAAATTTGCGATACCAGAAGCCATCGCTCTCCTGTAGCCAGTTCACTGCGTCAGATTTGACTACCTCCACCACCTGAATTATGGGACAACATTTCACAGACGTTTGTAGGTAAAAAGCGCGTCAATCTGCACCGTAAAAATAATCTGAATTGTACAACAATTTCAGGGTGGTGGCGAGCCTCAAAAAACGCCGATTCAGCTGCCAAGACGTTGTAGATATTGTCACTACCACTCTTTTAAGCGATTCCTGTGATAGAGTTATCCACACGTGTTGATCACTTTGCGGTTGCCAACTGATATAGTCCACACACTAACAGGACACCGGGCATATCCGACACCTCAGAGAAAGCGTACAGTGTCGTTGATGTCACGGGAAACACTCATCCCACTGCATCCGCATACTGAGTGATGATAGATAGAAGATGATAGACAGAACAACCAAACCAAGACACAAGATACCATCTGCAATCCGTACCGTAGCAACAGGCTTATCCCCTGCCGAATACGACGCCCTCTCGGCATTCAAGATGTGATAGTCGAAAGCCAGCATCACTGTCTGTGAATGTTGACACCCGGACGAATCAACGTAAGGTTAGTTGAGTCTCTGAAGATATGTCCTGAGGCAAATAGCACGGCAGAGACGCCTTATACTGGCTTCGGCAACACTCTGCCGTTACTAAAAATAGTGGCCGACTGCTAACGCCACTAACAAGTGGGCGACGATGCGATGTGTGTAGCGCAAGTATGTATACTCATCTTAAACTGGGTTGAGTGATGTTCGGTACCGCTGTGTGTACTATGAGGCAAGTGGTCAACTGCGAAGGGGCTTTACCCCAAAGATAATGGTAGCAGATAAGGGGAGTACCAACACTAACTATATACTATGCTGGTCTGCAGTGCAGTGAATAACACAGAGATGCCAATCCGGATATAACGGCACTACCTGCTTCATCAAAGACAAAACAGGTGTTCAGATGTCTGATATATTTATGTATAAATACAAGCTATCTCAGAGTCACTCCTCTTACCTGTGAGTAGCCGTACAGCTTCTCCGCCGCAATTGCATTGGCCCAATTGAGAATCCGTGCGACCCCTGCGTGAGCATGTAGGGTTTGGAATGGCTTTAAGTATTGCGATTTCCTTATTAAAAAACCCCCCTAAACCCTACCAGCTGAACGAGAAGAAAAGGGACGATGCCATACCAATGATTCTGTATGGGTTAATGAGTATCAGTGCATATCACTGCTATATGCGATGGCAATGTGTATACAAGTATGCATATACGTATTTATATGTCAACATATGAAGGGTTTTCAAGCAGAGTAGTTAACTTCAAAGTTGTGTCGTATCCGGAGACGAAGGTATGGCCGATATCACTGCGGCCTATTCAATCATGCCTGTCCGGTACATGGCTTGCACACATGTTGCTTTGTCAGAAACGAGTACTGGCCGACATATCTCAAGCACGTAGATACACACCAACAAATATCAATTGAATAAATAGGCAGTCTTATACATACCAATAAATCATTAACGTACGCACACGTTCATATATATTTAGAGCGCATTGGCATTCACTGTAATATGTACTATTATTAGCATATTTTGACAAATATATGGACCGGAATATTAAATCTAGACAATACATACCAACACATCTGTTGTATTTCCTGAGACTGGCTGAGTTAACAGACGTTACTTCTTGAGCGGCGCTACCGGAGAACAGCCGAGCAACCCACGACGCACGCTTCACAGAGCCCTTAGCTACAGAGAGAAAAAAATAGAATGAGAATGAGAATAAATTTATTGAGTGCTATATAGCAAAGTTGGACTGCATAGCTAAGGAGAGATATCAATAACAAGTAAATAGAACTATCTTATTGAGTATTTTATAGCAAAGTTAGAGCGCTTAGCTACCGAGAGAGATATTTAGCAAAGTTATGTGGCAGTCAAACAGTATGGGGTAGAGAGCTTTGAAGATATAGCCACACAAGGATGATATTCTGGACAGAAACCATACACCCTAAATCCTAAACCCTAAACACAGAACGACCGACAATGGATGCATAGGTCACACAGAGCATTCAAATGTGCACGCACAGATACGATAACCCAGAATACCACGTCTGCTCAAGCACACCACAGCGTGACTATGGCATACACTCGGGAACACGCCCTAAACCACAGCTGGGAAACCCTAAACTATAACCTCTGAACCCTAAACCCTTAAATCAGAACGCCCAACAATGGACGCATAGGTCGCACGGAGTATTCGCATGCGCACGCACAGATACGAGCACACGGCCACCCAGAATAGCGCGTCTGCTCAAGCACACCACAGTGTGACTATAGCTATAGCACACACTCACGAATACGCCCAAAACCACAGCTGGGATACGCATAGCAAGCAACAGGTCAAGTGTTGGCCAACCTTGGATGTCATACGAAAGCGTGAAGTTGTAGGTTTCGTAGTATGGTTTCGACTTCGTCAGCTGAGCGTCCCACACACCCGGTATCCCTAACCGGTAGAGCATATCCACCTAGAGAATATGGCGACAACACAACATTGTATTGAAACGCAATATAAAAACATACGGTACTAAAGAATGACAACAGCTGTCTCTGATGATGTGCGAAAGCATGGAGTGTGTATATATAGAGGAGTTTGAGGCCAGTTCTTATGATACTGTGAAGTCGCAGTATGTTTGACCTATGGGAAGAAGCAAAATAGAATAGCATGTCTATCACCTGCCGCTGATTCGTAGTACTTATATAACGCATAGAGCCTTACACGGTCAGGTCGATTAGCCATCACCAACAACATACTCCAAAGCAATGTACCACGTAATCTTTGAAAAGAACGTACCAACGCCAACCGAATACAATGTCACCATTGCATTTGCAGGGCATCCATGTCATGTCCACTGCAGTATGTGATTGTTGTCCACTTCAAATTGGCCGTCACGAAATGGCAGTCGGTTGGTTTCATCTGACTATCATATATGAATATAACTATCTTGGCACATATATATATACA